TGTTATAACAAAATTGTGTCACTGGGAATATGTGGCTTAGTATGACCGTAGACCCAGAATAAGGAAACCAAGGGACTGTCTATTCTTAATGACATTTTAGTCCAAAGGGTCTTTTGAAATCAGTCTGTTCAAATTCCTACCTAATATCTAGCCTCTACTTGAATACTTCCAGAAATTGGTAGTAGTTTGCTTGAAGAGACTGGTTGCATCTCTATTTTTGGACAGTCTTATTTGTTTGACTATTAAAAGACAGAGTTATTTGCTTCATATTTCTTCAACTCTTGGCTCTAATTTGACCCTGTGGTTTGCTCTCTTATATGTTATAACTCCAAATATTTGAAGATGGTAATCGTGTCCATTTTTAGTGTTGTCTTTGGGCTAGACATTTTCAAGTAATTCAGCCATTTATTTTATGGTATTCCCTGGCTTCTCACCATTTTGGTCACTCTACATATTTTCTTGTGTTTGTCAATGTCCTTTTGTATGTATTTTTAATGTTTCAAATACACCATGTATGGTCTGAACAGCAAGTAGCATTGACACTGCTGCCTATTTTTATCTGAACACTGTGACCTAGGAAAGGTTTGTCAACCTGTGACTCTAGGGTTTCTTAACGGTCAAGTCAAACAGGCTTTTAACTGAGCTTTTGTTAACTAAAAACTTCAAGTCATCTTCATGTTGCCAGGACAGGTCCCCCCTCTCCCCATCAGCTTGATAACCCTTAAAGTGTTTAAAGTAGCACATTTACCATCATTTTTGTTGATTTCCACTCATCCTCACAGCCCACTGAGAATTCAGGATTATTTTTTTATTATATACATCTTCATTACTAACTCCCAGCGTTGAGTTGTCTATAGATTTGGCTGGTATGTCTTTGACTTGGTTCTTTTCAAAATGCTTAAGACTGGGCTCTTTGCACGTTAACATTGCTCCATAATCTTTGAGAGCGGTATTCAGCAACTGTGAATCTGTTAAATTGTATTGTCATCAAGCTCCTTGCTACTCAAACTGATTGTAGGATTAGCAGCATCAGCATTATTATATGGAGGCTTATTTAAAATGCACGCTCTCAGGCCTCACCCCCAATCTACTGAATCAGAACCTGTATTTTTACAAGATTTCCAGGTGGTTCATTTGTATGCTGAAGTTTGAAGAAGCATGGATCTAGCCTATATTTCTCCATAAAATAGGATGCAGAAGCTTTTCAGACTCTGTACAAAAACCAAGCCAGACGTTTCAGCAGTATTATCCTGATGCCTCTATCAAAAAGTTTCTCAACTCTGACTGTACAGTGGAATTACCTGCGGAATTTTTTAAAATGTCGCTGTCTGGCCCCAGAGAAAGCTCCTCAGGTGATTTTAATGTGAGAATCTTGTAAAGCAAGTTCTATGTGAAAGAAGACTGTGTAATGCAAATGAGGTTAATTTGACAGTGAATTACACTTCTGGTGAACATGTTTTTCTACGTGTTTGCAATATATCTGATAGTCTATAGCAGAATTCCACACACACACCCCCCCAGGTTTTGTGCCAGATTTTGCTGTGTTATCGCTTATAGACGTCACTTTCTTTGCAGATTAGATCATCTGGTATCTCCTGTTCTCTGATTTCTCAAAGATTGGAAATTTTGCAGTTTGGATTTAGATTTTTTTTTCTTTGAGAAACTTGGTTTTTTCCACTACTTCCAGTTGGAAGATGATTCTCCTTGCTGAATAAGATAGAAGTTGAGTGCCTCTACCTACCATCTTCTATTAATATACCATCTGTACCAGAGGCTTAGTAAAAGATCTCATTCTTACTTCAGATTTGTTTTTCAAAGCCATTTAAAAGCTCTTTCCCATACTTTTGAAAGTTTCTGTTCCTTGTGGGCTTTAACCTCTGATGCTATTTTTAAGACTTTGTGCCATTCTTGTAATAGTCCTTGGTATGTGATTTTTCTGTTATCTGTGGTTCCTTTCCTTCAAATGTCAGAACTTATCAGGAATTTTTGCCTTCTTTGAAAGCTTTACATTCTTAAAGCCCTTCAACCCTACTGAGTTTTCAGTTTTTAGAAATTATTTTTGAAACTATTGATCTATTCCTTCATAAGTGGACTTGGTCCTTTCATGTTACTACTATTCAGAATATTAATTGCTTAATATTAGCCAAGTGTGATTTTCTTTGGTTTGGGAAATTATGGCTGAACTTTCTTTGTGCTTTTCTGTACTTTTTTTTAAATTAACTGTGTGCTATTTATTACTAATACTAAGTTGTGGAAAATTTTGGCTTCTTGTTTTTTTTTTCATTGCCTGGCCCATATAATGTTAATGGGTGTTTTATTTAACCTGTTGACTTCTAGTCTTACAGTTTCAAGTTATTTAAAAAACAACATCTTTCAGAAATTTATATAGTTTAGTCTTACCAAAATTAAGAAATCTTAGTTATGAAATTAGGAAACTCCAAAAAATATTAAGGTCTCTCTCCCTTTCCCTTTCCTTGAGATAATTCATCTTATTTGTTTAAAGAATGATAGACTAGTTCTAAGAATAATGATCTAAGAAAAACAGTGGAGAGCCAGATGTACCCATGTATAGACTAAAATTTGTTTAGACTCATCAGACAGGTAGACAGTCTTCTTTGTTTTTTTAATATCTGAAAGATGGTTTGTTTTTATTTTTCTCTAGTATTGACATAAACATCCAGATACTTCGTGTTTTGTGTGTTGGATTAAATTGTAGTACCAACATAGATGACTGCTTTTCCACAAATCAGATTTTCACATGTTTGTGAATTAACTTTTATCTTGTCATTGTGAATTTAAGTCAATCTGGGGTTAGAAGGAAAAGAATATACTATATATATATATATATATATATTTCCTAGGGCTGTACAAATAGTGACAATTAAGTTTTGGCTAGTTTTATGTACTATCCAGAGTAGGGGTTGGCAAACTTTTTCTGTAAAAGGCCAGATAGTAAATTTTTTTCACTTTGCTAGTCAAAATTGAACATATTACATAATTATTTATATAAAAATAGAGAAGCCAAATTTCCACAAAGTTTTTCTAGATGTAATAATAAATGAGTACAATGTTTTATAATATAGGTCTACTAGTGAGAAGAATGGTATTCTTTTTGGTGGGATAACATTTTGCTTAATTGGGGCTCAACGTTCTTTATCATCAGAATCATTTGCGGATGTCCATTTAGTGTTTTCTGATTTGAACTGAGATTTTACATATTTCATCATTGAAAATGTCTTCACACATACAAGTACGCTGTCTAATCAGTATACAAGCATATAATTTTAATTGTAAATTTGCCCAACTAGATATATTTTAGCTCTACACATATTTTTTTTTAACTACCATTTCAGTTGTAACACATCTTTGCAGATTCCACCTCAGGTTGTGTTGAATTAGTGTTTCTCAGCTTCTTTGAAAATGTTATCACCTGTAGTTAGTTGTTCATGCAAACTATTCATAGAGACTACTTCTTTAGTTACTTCAAACTCCTCAAATAACTTGACTCCTTGAATAAGCAACTGAATAGTATCAGTTATATTTGTCAACTCATCAAGAGCCAAAGGGAACTACTCAATCATTTGCTTCTTTGTTTTTCACTTGATGATTGATATATCCCAGTATCGTCACTTTTTGAGCAACTGTTCTCATGAAAAGGCTAATAATCTTAAACCAGTTTATTTTCTGTGGACTATTTGTTTAGCTTCTGCAGTCAAACACAAGTTAGCTAACATAGCATTGATAAATGTCTTTCCTTGCTTAGCCAACAAATGAGCCACTTAGAAACTTACTCTGGTTGAAGCTTCATTAATTTTGTGAGGAAATACTTTGTGATATTTGTTTTAAATTTTCTAATTTTTCAGACCATAGCTTTCTTGTGAATTGTAAATAGTATGATCAGTGCTTAGTCTAATAATATTAATGTATATTTTATTATTTTAGCGCAGTTTTAGTGTCATTGTATTAGAATATTTGCCATCTACTCTAATAAAATAATCCATACTGTGCCTTTAGAGATGGTACTCAGTGTTCATCAAGTTTTACTGGAATACAGCTGTACACATTCATTTACATATTGTCTGTGGGCTGCTTTCTTGCTATAATGGCGGAGTTGAGTAGTTGTGACAGAGACTGTGTGGCACTGTCACTGCTTTGCACTGGTGATCTGTGCACTGCAAGTTGCAGTGATGAAATTATAACTTGACAGCATTTCAAGTGCCATGCTTATACTGTAACATTTTTCTAAATTACCAGTGCACACTCATTGTATTAAATGGAGAAAGTGGGCTTGACCATTAGCATTTTTAGAACTTCTTTTCTACATGTCTTATCTCTGTGAGAGGCAATAGAGCATAGAGAAACCTGAATTCAGATTGTCCAGGTTCAGCTTCTGGCCTTGTCACTTGTTATGTAACCCTGGTCAAGTTATATAACCTCTCTATACTTTATCTGTTTCTTCATCTGTAAAAAAGTAATAACAATAACAACAGTGTTTGTGCACAGTGTCATTGTGAGAACTAAAAAACAAAAGCAATTATAATAGTGCCAAGAATTCAGTAAGCTGCTTGGGTCTAGCCTTGTTGAACAGACACCATTCAATTCTTGCTACACTGCTGAATTCTTATCTGTATTTCTCTAACCAAACTTTACTCTGGACAAGTAGCTAAGAATTTATTTATTGGATCCCATGTAATTTTCACACATTATAAAATATTCTCTTAGAAAAACATTTAAAAGTGTAATACTCATTCTTAGATATCAAGGAGGAAAAATAGTCACCAGGGCTAAGTTCGGTCCATGGGCCATAGTTTGCCAACGCCTGACCTAGTCTTTTCCTAGTATAACAGTGCTTTTCAGTGTTTCTATTATGAAGTTTCCATTCATATGAGGTCTTAAAATCCATGTCTCAACCTGAATTCTGGATTTTCACATAATTAAAACTGTTCTATAGAAGATATACTGACTTTTGTTTTCAAGAGTGATCTCCTTTCTCCTTTTAGATAATTTTCCACTTGTTTATCAAGATGGAAAGCTCAGATTGTAACGATAAAGGAAGTGGTGATCAGTCTGCAGCACAGCGCAGAAGTCAGATGGACCGATTGGATCGGGAAGAAGCTTTCTATCAATTTGTAAATAACCTCAGTGAAGAAGATTATAGGCTTATGAGGGATAACAATTTGCTAGGCACCCCAGGTATGCAATGTGTAGTTTAAAGATTTATACACACACACACACACACATATATATAAATTGCTGGTCTTTAAAAAAAACAACTGTTTTTTCAAAAAAATGTTTTGTTTACCATTGTGAAGTATGATTTTAATACCAGGGATATAGAATGAAATTTACTGCTGTACTTATTGCTTGATTTTGTTCACTCATATTTGGAATTATCCCTATGTCAGGATTTTTAGTGAGGAATTATATTATGAATTTATAGTAAGCTGAATTGAAAAGAGTGGAACTGAACAGTCTTTTTGTTATTTATCTTTATTTAACTTACTAGACAGTGGTCTGGAAGAGCTAATGGGAACTTTGGTTCTTAGGACAGACTTAACTCTGTTTTATCATCTCTCATTCTCTGAATGTGTCCCAATCATAATCAACCAGAGCTAGCCTTGGGTAAAATAGTCAGTTATTCAGAAATTTGTGCTTGGTTATTCTGTTTTGCCTCATTAGGTCTCATTTGATTCTAGTTAAAATTCATTATATCACTTCCTCCTCATTTCTATTTAATTCTATTAATGTTTGAATGATTGCTTAAATTTTAAAAGGTAAGGTGCTAGCATGGTTACTATGAGCCAGAGTTCATTTTGAGCCAGCAGTACCAGACTTGAGTCAGAATGCCAGAGTTGGCCTTCTTGCCCTGCTATATATTAACAAATCAGCTCACTTACTCTGAGTTTGTCTTAAAATGCAGATAATATCTATCTCCCAGAGTTGCATTTTTAAAGAATGAGATATTGTATGCAAAAGCATACTGTAAACTGGAAAGGAATACAAATAAATATAAGTTGTAATGTCATACTCTCAAATAGGTGAATTTTACTCAGGTTCCCACTCTTTGGTTGTCATCTCAAATGGATAAATCATTGGATTTTATTTATAACTTTGCAAACATTTTAAACTGTTTTCAGGTGAAAGTACTGAGGAAGAGTTGCTGAGGAGACTACAGCAAATTAAAGAGGGCCCACCACCACAAAACTCAGATGAAAATAGAGGTAAGCTTTTCTTGGGAGAGGGGGTGTAAAGGATGAAATGGATAAGGAGCTTCCTAATGATAAATGTCAGCCAAAGATAATCCAGCAGTAGCACAAATTAATTTGGTGTTAAAGTAACTGTTCATAAAAAGAACTGGCATTTTCTTGATATTTGGTGAGAATGTTAACTTTTTTTTTCCTGCTTCACCTTTGGGATTTTTTTGATATAGGAATGTCCTGTCTTAAATGTGATCATTTTTCTTGATTTTTCTTGATTTTCTACCTTCATTGAAATTTCCCCATACCCACTGAATTATTCCTTCCTTATAAACCTGAGTTCCTCACCAGCAGAAAGGTTGCATTCTCTAATCTGGTGGTTCTCAGTGGGGTATAATGTCTGGAGACATTTTTGGTTGGGAGTTTGCTGTTTGCTCTAGTGGGTGGAGGTCAGGGATGCTGCTAAACATCCTAAAATGCACAGCACAGCCCCCACAACAAAGAATTATTTGGCTCAAAATGTAAATAGTTGCACTGTTAAGAAATCTTGTTCTTACCTCAGGTCTGGTGTTTCTTCTTCAGTGTGAAATATGATAACAGTTAGGTTGTTGAATGTACTGTATATGTACTGTGCTAGGTTCAGACTGTTTACTTGTTCTGATCTCTAATTTCATGTTAATTTAAAATCTTGATAACATGAAGAAGTAACCTGTAAATCTTGTTTATATTTTTGCAATGTCTAAAGCAGTCTTATAGTTTTTAAATGTCCTGTATTTTTATCCGAGGCACTTAAGAGCCCAAAGAAATGCTGTAGATTAATAAAAATTTAACCAAAAAATGTAATTTGAACTAAAATACTAGCCCTGTACCTTAACTGGTGTTTTACATTATTTGATTATGTTAGTGTTTTGACAGTGGACTGAAAAAATGTCTTCTGACAGTCCCCAGTGGTACACTAGCTCTGTATACAATGCTAAAAATAGACTTCCTCCCAATTCCCTTTTTTAAAAAATGCTTTAAATTTCTCTAGGATTAGCTTGCTGTTTTAAAATGGAATTGAAAGTTTCTTGCTTTTACTTGCCAATCAGTGCAGTATAGTTTAAAAAAATCTGTAAATTGAAATCTGTTCAGAATGTTTTTCTGTTAATAATATGAAGTTTCAGAGTGTGATTTCCTATTTTTAATAGTTCCTTTTCTCCCCTCCCTTTTTGAAAAACAGGTGGAGACTCTTCAGATGATGTATCTAATGGTGACTCTATAATAGACTGGCTTAACTCAGTCAGACAAACTGGAAATACGACAAGAAGTGGGCAAAGAGGAAACCAATCTTGGAGAGCAGTGAGCCGGACTAATCCAAACAGTGGTGATTTCAGATTCAGTTTAGAGATCAATGTTAACCGTAATAATGGGAGCCAGAATCCAGAGAATGAAAATGAACCATCTACAAGACGTTCTAGTGGAGAAAGTATGGACAACAACAGCCAAAGACAAGTGGAAAATCCACGATCTGAATCAACATCTGCAAGGCCACCCAGATCAGAACGAAATTCAACTGAAGCATTAACAGGAGAAGCCCCACCTACCAGAGGTCAGAGAAGGGCAAGAAGTAGGAGCCCAGACCATCGGAGAACCCGAGCAAGAGCTGAAAGAAGTAGATCACCTCTACATCCAATGAGTGAAATTCCACGAAGATCTCATCATAGTATCTCATCTCAGACTTTTGAGCATCCTTTGGTAAATGAGACTGAAGGAAGTTCTAGAACCCGGCACCACGTGACATTAAGACAGCAAATCAGTGGACCTGACTTACTAACTAGAGGTCTTTTTGCAGCTTCTGGAACAAGAAATGCTTCACAAGGAGCAGGATCTTCAGACACAACTGGCAATGGTGAATCTACAGGATCAGGCCAGAGACCTCCAACCATAGTCCTTGATCTTCAAGTAAGAAGAGTTCGTCCTGGAGAATATAGGCAGAGAGATAGCATAGCTAGCAGAACTCGGTCAAGGTCTCAGACACCAAACAACACCGTCACTTATGAAAGTGAACGAGGAGGTTTTAGGCGTACGTTTTCACGTTCTGAGCGAGCAGGTGTGAGAACCTATGTCAGTACCATCAGAATTCCAATTCGTAGAATCTTAAATACTGGTTTAAGTGAGACTACATCTGTTGCAATTCAGACCATGTTAAGGCAGATAATGACAGGTTTTGGTGAGTTAAGCTACTTTATGTACAGTGATAGTGATTCAGAGCCTAGTGGCTCAGTCTCGAGTCGAAATATGGAAAGGTCAGAGTCACGGAATGGAAGAGGGGGCTCTGGTGGTAGTAGCAGTTCTGGTTCAAGTTCCAGTTCGAGTCCTAGTTCCAGTTCCAATGGCGAAAGTTCAGAGAATAGCTCAGAGGTGTTTGAAGGCAGTAATGAAGGAAGCTCATCATCAGGCTCATCAGGTGCCAGGAGAGAGGGTCGACACAGGGCCCCAGTAACATTTGATGAAAGTGGCTCTCTGCCCTTCCTTAGTCTCGCTCAGTTTTTCCTCTTAAATGAGGATGATGATGACCAACCTAGAGGACTCACCAAAGAACAGATTGACAACTTGGCAATGAGAAGTTTTGGTGAAAATGATGCATTAAAAACCTGTAGTGTTTGCATTACAGAATACACAGAAGGCAACAAACTTCGTAAACTACCTTGTTCCCATGAGTACCATGTCCACTGCATCGATCGCTGGTTATCCGAAAATTCTACTTGTCCTATTTGTCGCAGAGCAGTCTTAGCTTCTGGTAACAGAGAAAGTGTTGTGTGATTAAGGTCTGAACTCTCAGCTGTGTAGCTGGTATAGTGATGGGCAAACAGGAATCACTTGCTTTCTGTCCACTTTTTGAGTGGTGCTTAAATGTAAAGTAGCAACCTAAATTGAGTCATTGCTTTTTGACTGAATCATTGTCCTTTCTCTAATTTCTGTTCCAAAATAAAAGGAAATATTTAAAAAGCAACATGTTAGGACATAAAAATCTGATTTCAGTATCAGTAATGGTTATTACTGATGATTTATCATGTACTTGTCAGTTTCACCTTTGTTACCTTAAAAGGTCTGCCTTAGCAATGACTCTCACCTGTTTCATATTGATCTTTAAAGTTTCATATGCCATAGGAAAGAGGAGTGAAGGAAATTCCCAGTTTAGACTCAGTTACAGTACATGTTTCCTAAGTGACTGCTTAAAGCTATACTGTTCCCAGTTATTAGTTGGCACACATTCAGCTACATTCTGAATATCATTTGTTCACCTTTCAGACAAGGTGATAATGGACTTATCAGTGTAAATAACACTAAGATTAGGATCTTCTAAGTGTATAACTGTCTTCTAAGCCCATCACTGTGGCACACTGTAGAGTGAGCTTATAGTTTAATTGAGATATTTATCTTGTGGAAATATTAAAAAAAAAAGCCTATGCTTGTGTAAGTGAAAAAATCACATTCATTTGTTTAAAAATGTAAAGCTATTTTGTAGAGGCTCAGTACTTTTTCCAATGCACTGTTGTATTAATGCATTAAAAATTGTAAAGTACCATGCTTAGAAATGAAAAAACTGCTTTTTGTGAGCCAACATAGTAAAAAAAAAAACACACCAAACAAAGTACAAAGCTGCTTTTGTAAGTGTGTAGATGTAAGAGCAGAACATATCTATAATATTTAATGTATGTGAACAGCTACTGTGACCTGCAAAGGAAAGGACAGAGTATGGATTTAGGCAGGAAATGAAAGAGGGAGAACAGAGAAAACTGCTTGGAAGAACTTTTCGTGAAGACAGTAATTCCACAGACATAAACTGGTTTCATATAGTGAGATCCTTGGCACAGTATTCTACTTGAGCAGATGAAGCAAATTTGGCAGTTTGGTTTAAGAAAAACAAACCACTACCCTCTAGCACAAGTTACATTGATGTTTTTGCAAGTTTGCTTCTCAAAAAAAAAAAATGGAGGAAAGAGACTATAAACCACTTATTTAGCATAAGAATTAAAGTTGGCACAGATGTGTATACTAATAGGAAAGTCTCGAATTTGCATTGTTTTTGGTATTTTGGTTATTCAAGGTACCAGTGCATACTTGTTACTATCTCTAATACAGACCTAATATCTCATACCTAAAGGCAAGATGAAGAAATAAGGGATTTTTATTTTTTGTGAAAAGTGAGTCGTTTTGGTTATTTGAAATTCAAATTTTAATTGTGCTGCCCATATTTGAAGATGAGAAGGCTGACTCACAATCTATGGGATATGCACTTTATGTTGTTTCCTTAGTAAGCCTTGTGAAGAACCCCAGTACTCTTGCTGACTTTCTTTTGAGGCAAGTTGGGGTTAGGATTAGTCTGACTGTGGAGGACTGTCTTTTTCTGGGAAACGCTAGTGCGCCCAAAGAGGGATTGAACACATCCTTGGCTCTTAACAAAGTGAGCTGATGACCCAGGTGTACGTAGTCAGATGCTCTACACAATAAACAAGTCTGCTTTAGAAATCTGGCTACCTTAACTGTTACCAACTCAGCTGTAAAGATTATTTCAAAGCTCATTCTTGTATATTTTCCTCTGGCTTTCAATCCTACCTAAGTATCAAGGAAATTGTAAATATGGTAGTTGTTTACTAAGGATATGTACTGCTCTTGCAAGAAAATAATGTCCAAACAAAGCTTCACTTATTTTTTTTTAATATAAGCAGATTTTACTGTTTATGGCGCTTATGTAATACATTTTATCTTTCTACAAAAATTGTCCATGTAAAAGTCAGGATTCGTTTATATTTGTGAGCCTCCTGTACCTTTACTAAGGGTGTAATCTACGGTTTTCAGATCTGCAGGGTAGTCCTGATTGGCTAAAAACAAACTCATTTTCCTCTTGGTATAAAATGTCCCATTATAATAGGGGTGTTCATTTTAAATAGTTTAAAAACAACTGCATCACATTCTAAGCATAAAAGAGTTATTAACAGGTACCTTCCTAACCTCCCAAGATGTATTATTACTCATTTGTGAAGTATTAAGAGGTTAACTCATGCAGAATGCTGGTTATGAATGTAGATACTGAAGCTATTCATAAACACTGGAAATAGAATTTTAAGTTTTTAGCCTTCAGTGCACATATTGGACATGTGCATGTGAAAACCTTTTTCAGTAGCACTCATTAATTTCCATTGGACTGTGTAGAATGGATAAAAATATTTTAGTGGAATTTGCTACTTGATTATTTTTTTTGCAAGGTCCATGACCAATATGTACTTTCTAGTATGGACATTGAAGACAAGGTCATTTGTAGGTGTCAGATGTACAATGGAGAACAAAAATCTTTTTTCCCACCTGCATCCAAACACCTGTTCTCTTGAGGGAGCATTTTCTTGCAAAAGACTTTACATTTCATTTTGTACCTTTGCACTTTTTCTTTATTACGAAAAAGACAAGGTCTTGAGGACCTTGTTTGGACTTCATGCAATAATAGGAACAAGAAAAAACAATGTTGGGGCATTACGTTGTTCAATGCATAGGGAAAAAGTACTAAAAACTGAATTTTCTTGAATATTTCAGATTATTTTTAAAAATTCATTTACTAGTCTGAAACGTTTGAGGTGTTTACCGGCAAGCAGCTGACGTGATTGAGATTTATTAGTACTAAAAACGAAATTGAACAAGTTAGCTTTAAAGTTTGCAAACTTCAGCAACACTAGAGGAACCAAACTTAATTTGGAATATTTGCTCTAAAAAGAACACATTAGTTATACCTTAGTGGTGTTAATGGAGGTTGGGGATTGAGAAAAGTGTTCATGTTAGTGTTGGAGTATAAGTAATCAATTGTATAAGCAATTACAAAAAAACATTTAGTACCAGGATTGTGTGTGTGTGTATGTGTATGTATGTATGTATGTATGTGTATATACATGCAATCTCTAAAAACATGATCATGGGAGTTCATCCAAAATTTAAGGTTAGGAAACTGTTACAAGTGTTACCTCAAGTAATCCGCTTGCGCCCCCACCCCCCCACCCCGTCAAAAATATGTTCTTTCCCTGCCAAGTATTCTCTCCTAATGTCAGTGTCTCAAATTATTTTTATGAAGGGTTATCGCTTAATATACTTTGTATTTAATCACCTGCTTCTCAGATGTCCATGACATGAAGTGGGGCAGCATCAGCCCTAATTTTTCAGCAGTTCTCAAACTACCCATGTAATAGGGAAGTGAATGTTACAAAATGCTTTTTAAAAAGCCATTTTTACAGCTCGCTAGAATACAGTGGCACCTTGTGGTTGTTTTTGATACTTTTAAAGATGGAGGATATTTTTATTCCTCCCTTTACTCCACCTCTTTTCTTTGCTGTTTGTGAACAAGAAATATTTGTCATCTGCCTTATTTGAGTTTTTAAGTTTTACCGGCTTCCCTGTCAAATATATTACCAGTACTAAATACATAGAAGCCACATTTGCGGGCACTTTTGTCTTATAAGACTATGCTGATTGCTACTTACTAAAGTATACTGTACCTTAGTAATGCAAGAGATTGATAAGGCACATGTTCAAATGTCAGGCATTTATCTTAATATAATTCATTAGTATATGTGTAATATTCAATAATGGCTTACCTGGTAGCTCTGTTGATAATGAATCCACCTGCAATGCAGGAGACCCAGGTTTGATTCCTGGGTGGGGAAGATCCCTGGAGAAGGCAATGGCAACCCACCCAGTATTCTTACCTGGAAAATCCCACGGATTATTCAATAATTATTATTCAATATTCAGTAACTTGTAATTCATTAACAAGTAAATTGTTCACTTTTGAAAAAAATGTAAATCAACTTATGCTTCATTTGGAAAGTTAAAATACAAGGTCCAAGTAACTAGTATTTCATTTATTTTTAAATTAGATTTTTAGAAAGCAGCTAAGAAACAGCTGTGAGTTATATACCTACCCTTTACATTTTTAGCATTCTGAAAAGAGTTCTTAACTGGAACATTACTAAAATAGGAATATTGGAACAAGTAAGCAATCTCACTTGCTTTGAGTAACTCCATTTTGTATCTAAAATGCAGTATATTTGAGCTGTTCAAGGAATAACAACAGTTTATATCAGTTTTATGATTATTTTCATGTCTACGTAGGTAGACCGTGTTCTAATTCAAATTTCAAGAAAATAGGCACACCCTCCAACAGTCTCAAAATCACCAAAATACTTATTTTTGGTTAGGATTTGTTTACTAAAGACCCCCAAGCTTAGATTGACTGATATCTTAAAGACATGCAGTGAAAGTAAACCCCATAATGTATGACTGTGCCTAGTTATTTCAGGGTTCCTCTATATCAGTTCCTCATATTGCAGATTTTTCTTAATACCAAGATATGGCTGAACTGGCTGCCCAGCCTTAACTCTTTTCAATGCCCCTTTGCTAACATTCTTTGAACTGAGTGATTTGTATGTGTTTTAACTGTCCAATGTTTGGATTTTACCTCTTTATAGCTCCATTTGTTCCTGGTGCTGCTTTTAAAGATGTAGGGCCATGTGATCCGGTATCAAGTTGAGTAGGTACGCAATTGGCCTGATTATGTATCTGTGCCTGTTTTGTCTTCTCCCAAGAAGAGCTGCTTTGGTATAGATGTTTACTTAGATTCGAATAAAGAACTGGGCAGCGGTTTTGGAGAGCTTTCTGAAGCCTATAAGAATCTAAAGGGATTTGGAGGGGGAACAGTAACAAAGACTGCCTTTATGTCTTTGAACATGAAGCACATAAATGTATGTTCTGTAAAGACTATAGTGATTGTTATACCAGGGCTTCCTGACCTCTGGGAGAGACTTTCAGAAAAGCAGAAAGGATCACAAAGTGAAGTGAATTTGGTTGTCTTACTTTGTCTGGTTTCTCATTTTCTTTCAATTTAAAGCTGAACATAACACCCTTTTCCAATGTCTATCCAGCAGACTCCTGGTTGGGAAGCCCTGTATTAAATTTTGAGAATGTACCCAGTTTCCTTTTTTTTTTTTTTTTGTACAGTGCTTTCTTTACACCTGCTTAAAATTAACTTGTTTAAAGCAAAACAAGACCTTGAAAGGTCAGTCATACTAAAGCTGGTTTGATTATTAATAGTTATCTTTTAGGAAGAAGCTTTTTCCCTATGTAAGATGTCATACTGCAGATTTAAAATATAGACTATCAATAAAATGCATGAAGTGATCATTTGTGCTTGATCATCTCTCCTTGGGTTTTTCTTTTAAAAGAGGAATCTGATAAAGATTCTGTTGCTTCACGCCAATGTCAGATAGACATGGTTTTAAAAATCATGTAGAATTACAGTGCAACCTTGATTTTGATTCCCCTCACTGTTTGAGTGTGGGCAGGTACTGGTTTATGAAATATAACTTCCGTTCTGTATTGTGTAATGGCTTAATCTTTCAGTGGTAAAATAAAAGATTGAAGTCTATTCGTATATAAGAATCCTGGAAACATTTGTGTAAATGACATTTTAAGTAGGTGCATCTTTGATGTTTCTTGTATTACTATTGACCTGGTGATTCCCTTCCTTGACCTCTGTAAGTATAAAGACTCGTCTAGGTGTGCATGTGTACTCAGACAGCTTTTGTCTTCCATTCCTACTTCCAGCCTTTCACACATGTTGCTTAAACCCCTAAGAGTCTTTGTTTCTAAGTAAGTCATCACATTCTGATATGTGGATGTGACTTCCCCTTGGTACTGGTATTTGTTTAACTAATGGTGAATTTTATCACAGCTTCATTTCCTCTAGTGCCTAACTACCCTATCACTGGCATAGGAACACGGTTCCTTGGAATAATTTTGGAGTGGTCAGTGCTTCTTTGCCTCATACCTTCACAAGCTTTTACTTTTAGTGTTGTTCATGATTCTGTTTGTAGTTCAAAAATGCCACTGAAAAGTTCACATTCTAGATAACAAAGTAAGCCAGTACACAGGCATCTTATTGAGGGAAATTTAGTGAAAAGGACCATTACCTAGCAGAGTGAATTATAAACTATATTGTTACAAGGGCTTCCTTCATAGCTCAGTTAGTAGAGAATCTGCCTGCAATGCAGGAGACCCTGGTTTGATTCCTGGGTCAGAAAGATCTGCTGGAGAAGGGATAGGGTACCCACTCGAGTATTCTTGGGCTTCCCTTGTGGCTCAGCTGGTGAAGAATCTGCCTGCAATGTGGGAGACCTGGATTCGATCCCTGGGTTGGGAAGATCCCCTGGAGAAGGGAAAGGCTACCCACTCTAGTATTCTGGCCTAGAGAATTCCATGGACTGTGTAGTCCATGGGGTCACAGAGTTGGACATGACTGAGTGACTTTGACTTTCATATTGTTAATGATCATTTAAAAAACAGGAAAGCTAGGGTCCAGTTTCTTTGAAGTCTTTAACTTCATTCAATGTTTAAATCAGACTGTGCAAATAGATTACTAATAGCTATAATATTTTCTGATTGCTGTCAGGTATTTTATTAAATATTATAAATTAATCCTCACATTATTCTGAGGTATATTATTGCCACTCTATTTGATAATTTGCCCAAGGTCACATAGTGAGTGGCAGAGTGTTTCCAAGTCAGATCTGATTTGAGAGCTTATTTTCACAATGTGCTCTTAATTCTGCTACCATAATACAGTCCCTAATTAGTTTTTTTTAATACGTCTCAAGTCCTAGAGTAATTACTTATGAGATATCATTTCTTAGACTAAACATTGGGGGAGTTTGCCAAGGAAAATTTAAAGGGCAAATCTGAGGAGGATTAAAGATCACATAGTGTAAATTCTGTAAATCACTTTGGGCACTATGAGTATCAAGGGATTTCATTTCCAAAAGTTTGGAAGGAGGCAGGAATGCGTTTTACAAATCTTTAATGTTAATGGTCATCTCGGTCTCATTAAATGTGCTCTTGGCCCTAGTTACAACGATTTGAAATATGAAATGACTGGAAAAAAATTGCAGCCTTTTCTTTTAGTATGCCAACTACTTGATTGGCATCCAAGTCAATGCCCTTTAAAGTTGCTTTGGGCAACCACAGGCATTTGAAGAATGTCATTGTTGCTCAGAAGATATTTGGAACTTGTGAGCAACTGAGAGAAGCAGCCCTTATTCAGGTTTGTTCATGTTACTTCTATCCTTGAGATGAATCTTGGCTGTTTAGAAGAATTCTTTTTCTCCATGGAGATTTGCCACCAATAAGCAAATTCAGAAGAATACTATGTACTCTGAAAGCAACCAAGAGCATGGCATTTCAAGTACTAGATTTAGAATAGGTAAATTGCTACTGAGGTAAGTGCTTTAAAATGATGATCACATCTCAACATTTAAACATGGAGAAATAGGATCCCTACTCACAGTTCAGTTCATTTGCTCAGTCGTGTCTGACTCTGCAACCCCATGGACTGCAGCACGCCAGGCCTCCCTGTCCATCACCAACTCCCAGAATTTACTCAAAACTCATGTCCATTGAGTCAGTGATGCCATCCAACCATCTCATCCTCTCTTGTCCCCTTCTCCTCCCACCTTCAATCTTTCCCAGCATCAGGGTCTTTTCAAACGAGTCAGCTCTTTGCATCAGGTGGACATAGTATTGGAGTTTCAGTTTCAGCATCAGTCCTTCCAATGAATATTCAAGACTGATTTCCTTTAGGATGGACTGGTATCTCCTTGCAGTCCAAGGGACTCTCAAGAGTCTTCTCCAAAACCATAGTTCAAAAGCATCAATTCTTTGGTGGTCAGCTTTCTTTATAGTCCCAACTGTCACACCCATACATGACAACTGGAAAGACCATAGCCTTGACTAGATGGACCTTTGTTGGCAAAGTAATGTCTCTGCTTTTTAATATGCTGACTAGGTTGGTCATAACTTTTCCAACGAGCAAGCATCTTTTAATTTCATGGGTGAAGGCATCATCTTCAGTGATTTTGGAGCCCCCCAAAATAATCTGTTACTGTTTCCACTGTTTACCCATCTATTTGCCATGAAGTGATAGGACCAGATGCCATGATCTTAGTTTTCTGATCGTTGAGTTTTAAGCCAACTTTTTCACTCTCCTCTCACTTTTATCAAGAGGCTCTTTCGTTCTTCACTTTCTGCCATAAGGGTGGTGTCATCTGCATATCTGAGGTTATTGATATTTCTCCTGGCAATCTTGATGCCAGCTTGTGCTTCATCCAGCCTGGGATTTTGGATGATGTACCCTGCATATAAGTTAAATAAGCAGGGTGACAATATGCAGCCTTGACATACTCCTTTACCGATTTGGAACCAGTCTGTTTTTCCATGTACAGTTGTAACTTGCTTCCTGACCTGCATACAGATTTCTCAGGAGGCAGGTCAGATGGTCTGGTATTCCCATCTCTTTCAGAATTTTCCACAATTTCTTGTGATCCACACAGTCAAAGGCTTTGGCATAGTCAATAAAGCAGAAATAGATGTTTCTCTGGAACTCTCTTGCTTTTTCGATGATCCAACGGATGTTGGCAATATGATCTCTGGTTCCTCTGTCTTTTTAAAATCCAGCTTGAACATCTGGAAGTTCACGGTTCATGTACTATTGAAGCCTGGCTTGGAGAATTTTGAGCATTACTTTGCTAGTGTGTGAGATGAGTGCAATTGTGTGGTAGTTTGAGCATTTTTGGCATTGCCTTTCTTTGGGACTGGAATGAAAACTGACCTTTTCCAGTCCTGTGGCCACTGCTAAGTGTTCCAAATTTGCTGGCATATTAAGTGCAGCACTTTCACAGCATCATCTTTCAGGATTTGAAATAGCTCAACTGGAATTCCATCACCTCCACTAGCTTTGTTCATAGTGTTGCTTCCTAAGGCCCATTTGATTTCTCATTCCAGGATGTCTGGCTCCAGGTGAGTGATCACACCATCATGATTATCTGGGTGATGAAGATCTTTTTTGTATATATCTTCTGTGTATTCTTGCCACCTCTTCTTAATATCTTCTGCTTCTGTTAGGCCCATACCATTTCTGTCCTTTATTGTGCCCATCTTTGCCTGAAATGTTCCCTTGGTATCTCTAACTTTCTTGAAGAGCTCTCTAGTCTTTCCCATTCTATTGTTTTCCTCTTTCTTTGCATTGATCACTGAGGAAGTCTTATCTCTCCTTGCTATTCTTTGGAACTCTGAATTCAAATGTGTATATCTTTCCTTTTCTCCTTTGCTTTTCACTTCTCTTCTTTTCACAGCTATTTCTATTTGTAAGGCCTCCTCAGACAACCATTTTGCCTTTTTGCATTTCTTTTCCTTGGGGATGGTCTTGATCCCTGCCTCCTATACAATGTCAGGAACCTCCATCCATAGTTCTTCAGGCTCTCTGTCTATCAGATCTAATCCCCTGAATCTATTTCTCACATCCACTTCTACTCTGAAAGCAACCAAGAACATGGCATTTCAAGTACTAGATTTAGAATAAGTAAATTGCTGCTGAGGTGAGTGCTTTAAAATGATGATCACGTCTCATTCAACATTTAAACATGGAGAAATAGGATCCCTATTCACAAGAAGCAGGTACTTCAATGGGGAAACATCAGGTATTACAAAAACCTTAAAAGATACACATAGCATAATTATCCATCCCCATGGCAGATGGTATTAGAGGGGAGCATTGAGGAGTAATGGAGTGAACAAAGGCCCATCTGAATTTAGAGTTTGTTTCCTCAGCTAATAGATAAATGTATGTTGTTCTCTATGTACTAGGCATTGTGCTGGTCCAAGGTTTCTCTTCCCCTTGTTTTTGGCGGACCCAAAGTCTCTGAGATATTGTTGAATTTCTCAGTGGATAGTGTTGCTGACTGATACAAAAAACGCAGTTTCCCCTATCTATACCAAATGTTCTAGAATAGTGCTGTCTAGTGGGAATAAAATGCAAGTCACATGTAATTTTAAAATCTCTAGTAGCTACATTGTTGTTTAGTTGCTAAGTCATGTGCAATTCTGACCCCATGGACTGTAGCCTGCCCAACTCCTCTGCCCATGAGATTTCTCAGGCAAGAATACTAGAGTGAGTTGCCATTTCCCTCTTCCTCTGCCATCTTCCTGAAGGGATTTAACCAGTGTCTCCTCAGTAGGCAGATTCTTTACCACTGAGCCACCTAGGAAGCTCCAGCAGCCATGTTACAAAAGGAATAAAGATAATAGTTGCAACTAATGTTAATACTTTTATTTCACCCATTAAATAAAAATATTTAAATGTGATCCATATAAAAACTGAGATACTTACATTGGGTTTTTTTTCATAGTGTCTTATTTTACACTTATAGTATGTCTCATTTTGGACAAGGCACATTCCAAATGCTCAACAGCAACAAGTGGCTAGTGGCTACCATATTGAACAGTGCAGTTCTAGAACAATATGGGAGAGATTGATTAAAGTGGGTATTAGAGATTGATTAAAGTGCAAATGGTGTTAAGTTTTAAAAGTTCACCTGTAGATAT